TTGGAAGCCTCTCACTCCCTGATTTCAAAGTTTACTAAAAGACTACAGAGATCAAAACAGACTAGTACTGGTACAATGAAAGATACATAGATCAGTGGAACAGAATTGAGAATCTAAAATTTAACCCATCCACATACAGCCAACTGATCTTTGCCAAAGGGCCAAAGTATATTGATTTGAGAGGAGACAGTCTCCTGAACAGATGGTGGGTGCTGGCAGAACTGGAAATTGATTTGCAAAAATTGAAACATTAGCTTTATTTCACTCCATATACAAATGTGAATCCCAGATTATAAAGGTCATCAGTGAAAAAACAGGGACAAATTTAAGGGCTCCAATACGGGGAACACAAACATTGCAAAAATTACACAAACAAAAGAAGACAAAATAGATTATTTTTGCCATCTATTTTGTTTTCTTTTGTTTGTGCAATTTAGGTACATACTAAAAACTAGAAACTTGTGTGCATCAAAAGATTTCACCTAAAGAATAAAAAGTGAGCCTACAGAAGGGAAAAAAAAATCCTTTGCAATGACATATCAGAGAAGGGACTCATTTCTAAAATCTATAGGAAAGTATAACACCTCTATAAGAAAAAGAAAAATAACCCAATAAAAAAATGGGCACAGGACATGAAGAGACACATCACCAAGAAAGACATTCGGGTCGCCAACAAACACACGAAGAAATGTTCATGATCATTAGCCATTAGAGAGATGTAAATCAAAACAACAATGAGATATCATCTCACAACAGCAGTAAGAGTGAAGTTCAAAAAAGCAGAGGACAATAAACACTGGCAAGGATGTGGAGAGACTGGGACCCTCCTAGATTTCCAGTGGGAATGCAAAATGGTCCAACCACTCTGGAAAACAGTATGGCACTTCCTCAGAAAGCTGGAAATAGAAATACCTTATAATCCAGCAATTTCTCTACTTGGTATATATTGACAAGAAATACAAGCCAGAACATGAGTAGATATATGCACTCCAAGCTTTATCATTGCACTATTCCCAAGAACAAAAAGATGGAGACAGTCTAAGTGCCCATCAGTGGATAAACAAACTTTGGTACATCCATACAATGGAATATTATGCTACCTTGAAAAATAACAAGGAAGTTGCAAACCACCACATAATATGGATGAAATTTGAGGACATTATGCTGCGTGAAATTAGTCAAGTCACAAAAGGACAACTATTGCATAAGACCATTATTGTAAAAACTTAA